TTTAATTCTTTATGAAAAATATGTTTATCTCTACAATGTAAAAACTTCAGGATCAAATTACGGTATAAAATATCGGCATTTTAACTGCACCATTCGTAAAAATCATTTTTCCATTAACTCCATTTCTATCATAAAATACTGCATCCTAATTTTCACTGTAATATTTATGTAATTATAGTGATTTAGTGATTTTATGGTAATTATTTTTGTAAAAATTACTGTTTTACAGATTTTTTGTGGATCTTAAATGTTAAAAATGGATTTCACGGTAAAAAGTATCGTCGTCCTGAGTACCGGTACTTTTTATCGGTATTTTTAAGTATATATGATAAAGTTTTAAATTGTGAGAGGGGTATTACTATTCAAGATAGAGAAAGATTGCAAAATATAAGCAATATTTTGAATTTTTTGAAGTTAATAGGCAAAACATGTGCGTCAAAAAAAAACGTGAACAAGAATTTTAAAAGAGAATAAATTTCTTCATACCTTAAACAGTTTCATATATTAGTCTCATATATTAGTTCCTTAATTCGTCTGTTTTTGATTTGTAACACTACTCTGTGACAAGGAGAAAATTGAGATTCATAAATTCATCGATTTCAGAAGTAAAAATATGTCAAATCCGTGAACATATTTGTATAATATGCGTCTAAGCATTCATATTATACTTATTTCCTTCATATTGATTTTTTCACAGCTATTGCATTATATATATATGAAAAAGCGATTTTNTAAGATATATATATATATATATATATATATATATAATTTTTGTTTTACTCAGAAAGGAAAATTTATTCTGGTAAAATTATTGTACTGTATGGTATTGGCACTTCTGGTAAAAAAAAGCATAATTCATGTTAACAAAACCATAATATACAGTATTTAAACCAGTCATTTGATATTTTTTTTGTTAGTGTGGTAATGGTGTGGTTTTCAAAATTATAGCTTTTATTACCTCATATTTAGTAAAAAATATAAGACTTGAAAGTAAGTGCAACAAAATTTAACCGGTTTTTATGCTTTACACTAAGGTAACATTTTGTCTAAGGTAACTTACTTAATCTCCTAATATAAAACCATGTTTTATAGTTGATTTAGCCAAAATCATTACCAAAGCATTTTGGCAAAATTACTAAGCTTCTTCTTACTCCCGTGAAGCGCGAAACACGGTAAATTTTACCATATTCTCATAGTTTTTATAATAGTTCTTTTGCAGTGTACTCTCATTCAAAATGCATATGTGAATGCAAATGCATATGTGAGAAATGAATGGTTTAGAAATAATAAAAAATGTTAATTAGTCCAAAATGCGTTCCATAATGCGGAAGCCAAATATCGTTCAAATTTATCTCAACCAAAATATAGTGTTAATTTGAACCGTATTATCGTACTTTATGATCTTCAATGCGCAATAGTATGGTTAAATTTGAGCAAAAACAGGGCTCAGATAAACACTTTAGTAAGGTCACAGCGAATTTAGATTGTATTTTTATTCAATATACAGATAGAATGGTTTAGTGTTAAACTGAATTACCTGAGAGTATTTCTTTCGAAAATATATCTTAAGATTGAAAAATTAAAAATACGCATAATTATTCTTTCTATATAGTACATGACAATGATCTTTCTCTTTCTTTCGAAAACTAATTGTTTTAAATTACTATAAATTAATAAAAGAATTATCTATTATTTTTAATTATTCAAATTAGGAATATTTAAGGAAAAAAATTTTGCTTCTTACACCTAGATTTTCTATTAAATCGCATAATTCTTGTTTTTATTTCTTTAGTTTTCTTTTCTTTTCTTCTCTTTCAGAGCAAAAAATAGCATAACTAGAGCAAGGATTTCTCGGTTTATTCACATTAATATAAAAATTCATTTACATTCATTTCACCAAAAACTTGTTCTCTATCTTCAAGGCTTATGAATCCTGGAGGGTAATGAATCTATATATCTAACTTTTAATTTATTTTTGCAATTATTTTAAAATCTTTTTTGAAATTATTTATTTAATTAAGTTAATATAAAATCGAAAATGAATTTAGCTGAAGTTTATATCCATTTAATTTGTCTTTAGAATAACGTAAAGCAAATGCACTCCTTTGCAATTCGCAGGTATTAGTTTTAACTCAAAGCTCTGGCTAATTTGTTTGACCTTCGATTTAAAATACTTTAAACCTCATTTAATTGGATATTAAATTTAATCAGTGCAGCTTTCAGCCAGTTTGAGTTCGAATTGGAAACTCCAGTTTTCAATTTAATAGTTCTAACTGGAATGCTAAATTAAATAGTGAATTAAAGTAATTCGAAAATTATATTAAACCATTATTACTTTATCATAATTAAGTCCAATAGTTTAACTATCGGATTGGAAATTTGATTTTTAAGTTAAGTCATTTTAGAGGAATGATGTTTGAGCACAAACGGATTTACTAATTGAATTTTGAAGGAGAAAAACAACAAACTTTATAAAATTAAAATATTTTTAAAATACAAAGAAATTCAAATTTAAAATTTGTCTTTAATATTTAAAAATAAATTATTCTCAAAAGTAACAAAAAATAATCACCAATCAATCATATTTTGTTTAGAAAACATGAAAATATTATTTTTCATTAACCAAATAAAGGAAATCTGGGAAATGAAAGTAAATAATAGCAGTTCATGTGAGTCTTGAATATTTTTCTAATGTTCTAATTTATTATTGCTTATTTGACAAATAATTAACTCACGGTAAATAAACGAAAATATGTGTATACAATATGAAATATATTGCAAAGTGTATTGCAGCGTAAGAGATTTAGAGCTTGTATATTTTAAAACTTTATATGAATGCATCACTTTTGAAGAACAACGTAAATATTATTACACGGAAACGCTTAAACAAATATTTAATCAATTCTTGCACAATACGTATGCACAATATAATCATTACTTAGGGTGTATGTTATAAAATCAATTTTAAATCAAACAAGATTTAATAGATGCAAAGTTTTCATTATCTGTCTTGCATGGATAAAAATATGGAAAATTGGCATATGAAAGATATTTAAAAATAATTGCTACATTTAAGTGGGCGAAATATAAACAAAACTGTTAATGTACAAAATTCTAACATTGGAGTGGGAAAGAATTAAACATTGTAAAGGTGACAGTTTTTATCACTAGAATAATCAAACATTTATGACTAGAATGAGCAAAACTTTATTTTTAATATTGGATGTGGGAAATAGCAACATTAGAACGAATGAAATGTTCATGAAAAAATTCGCAAAATGTTTGGTCATATGTCGACAGGTTAACTATTAATTTTAATATTTGATATTTTTCAAAAATTTAGCATGATGCTAGTGTTAACTTTTTTTTATATAAACATAACCAAATATAAATATTTATTTATTTATTGTCTAAAAGCATTCTTGAAAATATGTTTGATTAGTTATTATCAACAAGAATATGTTATAGTTATACGAATTAAATTTGAAAGAACACATTCACTTTATTTACTTAAAATATAATACTTCAAGTAAGCAAAATTTGTGAATTTGTCACTTGTCAAAAATTAAATTTGATTCTTTGAGAACCACATTAGGAACATCAATATTTCAATATGCAGTCTGAGTTAGTTTTTACTCAAACATTAATCAATTGAAAGAAAGGACTTTTAAGAAAAGAATAAATTTAAAACGAAATAAAAAAAAGAAATAAAATTTTAAAATCAAGTAAGAGCTTTGACAGTTGAAAACTAACTCATTAATCAACATAACCATCGTTTTATTTTGAAAACTTCAAGATGTTTCCCTTCTATAAGTCTGTGAATGTAAATTGCAAATTTCTTTCGATTGCATCGAATAGAAACAGGAGCAGATGACAGAAATAGTAAATGGTTACTATATTTCTTTCGAACGAACATTCACTCCATTGTTCATAAAATTGACTGTTCTTTCGAATTTCATTTATTGTTTGACAGTCGTTTGAAAGAAAGTAGTCTTTGGTAAAAATGTTATCTTCCAATATGTATTTTTTACGAGACTTGCTGTTTTAAGATGATTAATTTATATATTGTCATGAAGATTTATTTGACAAATTACATAGAAAATATATTTTTTTAAAAATCTAAGAGCTGAATAGATACATTTCACAAATAATGAAAATGACTGAAAATGTTATATATTTCTGAAGGGTGGAAAAGGTTTTTTCGATTAGTTATAATTATTTAAAGAGGAAAATAATTTAAATTTAATAGGTTACAGAGATCATTAAATATCATCACTCTCACTGAACATAATTTTGAGCAAACATGATCCTGACATCTGCGAACCTTATAATTTTAATTTTTTTTAACTTACTAAAGTTTTAGATTGCAACAATATCTAATCTTTTAAACGAGTAAGAAAATTGGCAAAAAATAAGTTGTTATATTTTTAATATATTTGGAAATGTTACAAGAACAATAGAGGATAACAAAACGTGTCCCAGATTGCACCCAAAAAGCAATGTTGATAAGAAAACACAAGTTATTAATTAAAGATTAATAATTGTTTGTTTGATTTAAGAAAAAAACTAATTTTTTGAAGGAAAAACTTTTTTATCGTGAAAACATTAAAAATCATACGAACTAATGTCTTAACACAACATTAAGTCAATAAACAAAACTCTGGTCCAAAGTATGTGTAGCGTACTACTCATCACGGCGCATGACGGCGTACTGTAGCGTATCATTCAGTTTCAATTTCTGTTTTTCTTAAGAAAAATAAATGCATAAATAAAATGTGCTTATTGTAGAATGGTTTCACTTATGTTCTCAAATGTTTGGATCAAAATAGAATATAGTTCAGAAAAAATTGTGTGTCTTATGTTTTCTGCTTGGGTAGAAAACAAAATATATTTTGTCTCGAAATTGTTAGCAATTGTTAAGTTCAAAATCAATCAAAAGTGTTTTTGTTTAACATAATTAACTGTGCATCATAATATAATATATATTTTTTCTTCATTAGGGAAGCCGACTGAAGTATCATGTGAAATGTATATTCGAAGTTTCGGATCAATAAACCCTTCAACAATGGTAAACTATTTAAGATCTTTAATTTTACTCAAGTGTTTTAAAAATCCAAAAAGTTGAGTTTTTCTGCGAAAGATGTGTCCCAAATTTTTGAAAGGCTTGAAATACATTATATTTTTTTAAAAAAAACTATTTAAAATACATCATATCTTTAAATCAAATTTTCTTTCTTTAACTCTATCCTTCTACTATTTTATGCAAATAAAATCAATCCTAGTACTCATCTTGATTTTCGCTATTTTTTGTTCGATTTTCAAATAGTATTGTTTAACAAAAAGTCTGAATCATATTTGCAAGCATATTTTATTATATTTTCTAAATAAAAATATTAGCGTTCTAAATATTTTATAATTTTTTGCATACAAAAAATGAAGAAATTATAGAATTGTTTATAGAATTTAAGCAAATTTCGTACTAAAAACATTTGAGAAAAAAAATCATTAACTAAAAGAACGCATTCTTGGAAAAACTTCCATTTTTCGTTCATTTCAAATAAAAATTTAAAAGTATTTTAATAAATAAATATTTTAATTTATAAATATTTAATGTAAACCTTATTTTAGTAACATCTCTCAAACAAAAACAATCCCATTTGCATGCTTGAATAAAGTTAGATTCTTCTTCCATCTCATTTTGCATTATTAATTAAATTGTCAATTTAATTTAATTTGCATGTTTGTTTTTAAAGGTATATTTAAAGCAGGAAAACTTTTTTCACCAAACTGATAATCGAACAATATTTCAGCTACCAAAGCTGCAATATTTAGCTTTAGTTAAGATAGTTGTGTTAATGGTTTAATATTTTTTTAATTATTAATACAACTTAATATTCATTTGAATAGGTATTAAAGCTTTTATGATAAATTTATTTTTTGTACTGATTTGTACCTTGATTTGATCTGGAAATTTTTACTATGTAATGGTTACTTATTTTAATTGTTTTTCATGATGTTTTAATGGTAGAGCGTTATTTATTTACATTATTATATGTTATGGTTTTTTCAACAGGTAATTTATGGCGTGTAATGTATAGAATTTCCATTAAAAATTCAAAAAAGCAGTGATAATCAACCTTAGAGAAATTAATTAATTTCGCAACTGAAAAGCATAAAAAATTCATGATTTTTTTCGATAAAATGACGAGAAACAAAACTTTCGGGCTTTAAGTAGACATACACGAACATGTATAACGATTTAACTTTACAGAAATCTACTCGTTCAATAATCTCTCTCTCGTTTCTCATCACGCTTCGAAAATTATCGGGAAAAGTATTGAGAAACACATTTTTTCAACTATTTGCTTGGACAGATATATGAATATAAAATTACTTGCTTTTCTTCATTTATAACTAAATTGTTGAAAAAAGTTTTTTAGAGTCTTCTGAAAATCGACTTTATGATTTCAAAAAAGACATGTATATAATTTCCTATGACTTGTTTCATAAATTCTAAACTTTATTTACCTTGAAGCTAATTTAATATGTGTAATGTATTTTCTTCTTGAAGGCAACTACATTTTAAAAAAGCTACTTATATGATAGTTAAAAGAAGTATTGTCTTATATGAATGATTTAGAAAAAAAAACAATTGTAATTTATGATAATATTTATATGCATTAAAATATTTTATCCTTGAATATCGATAGTATTCATCTTGGTTCTCAAAAATTTCAAACAGAACATAAAAAATAAGGTTATTTACCGAAAATTGAAAAATTAAATTTTTGATAAGGAAACTTTTTAACTATTACTGGACACAGGTGGTCATGCCCAGAATTTTATTAGCTTTTATTAGTTTTTTACATCGGGAAAAAAATTTTATAGATAGATTTTCCATCGAATTTTTATAGATTTTTCTTTCCTTTTTCATCAAATTTTTATAAATTGCAATATCAAGAGAAGTATGGATTACAGCTCTTTTATTCAGCTTTTAAAACTGACTAAAAATACATGAAATCATTTGTGTTGAGGTATCTAATATTAAATATGTAGTATCTTGATATATATCTTAAATAATATCAATAACAGTAATCATTAGAAAAACAAATCAGCAAAATAATACATAATACAGACTAATCGTGCAAAAATTAAAGTTGTTTTATCAGAAACGAAAATTCCTTAATGGAATAGGCTAATTATTGCAAAGAGTGTAAGAAATGGGTCATTGATTACGTGTTCAAAGAATATTCTCGTTATTTCAACTCCCTTAATTACAACCATCGTAGTTTTATCGATTTTATGAGCAAAAAATATTTTGCAAAGAAACTTAGAAGCAACAATAAAATCACATTCCGTTTCAAAAAAAAATTTTTTTTTAATGTTATGAAAATTTCTTTTAAATCTGAGAGAAAAATTTAAGAACGTTTAGATTTTCATTTCGCTTTACCATTCATTTTCACATTCTTACATATTGTCGTTAAGTAGATAAAGGGAGACAGAAAATCTGGTAAAGTTACTATATTGCATGGCTATGACATTTATGGTAAAAAATATAATTTTGGTAACAAGAACCAAAATATACGGTATTTTAACTATTAATTTGGCAATTTATTCGTTCATACCATAACAGTTTACCTCAAATTCTGATTTTTAAAATTATATTTCTTATTACCACGCATTCAGTAAAAATTAAAAAGTCAATTTAACCAAATAAATGGTTTTTATGCCATTTTCTAAGATATTAAAATAAAATTACCGAGTTTTGTCTCTTATTTTTATTGCTTATTTTATGAAAATCATTATTATTAATGCGCTTCAGTAAAAATTCTAAAAACTTTTCGGTGTTCTCAAAGGTAACTTTTGCCATACTGTGGAAATTTTGACCGGGAAAATATATGAGCTTTATTTCGATTGCAATTTATTTAATCCAGAATACTGACAAAGCAAAAACATTTAAAAACTTTCAACTAACCAACTCCTTTTCAATGCAATTTTATTTTCAAAGGAATTTCAGATTGCTTTTGAGCTACCTTGAATGCCCTTAATTAGAAAATAATGTTTGGAAACATAACGGTAAATAAAACTTTGTAACGAAGGATTCTATAAACTAATTAACTTCAAAACAGACTCTGAACCAACAAAAAGTTTTCTTCCAACTGCTGATTAAAATTTGTACGTTTTAACTACCGTATTAAAAGAATCTTTTTCAAAATACGTTAAGAAAATAAAAACTTTTATTTCACTAAAGTTGTTTCTTACGTCGACGTGAACCGACGTTCAAGAGAATTCCAGTCAAATGTATTATACACATTCACAAAGTGACTTCCTAAACAGTCAGAACCACGATTCAAGTGTTTGGAAGAAACAGTAGCAAGAAAAACAAAAGATAAAACCTCTAATTCCGAGGATCAGACAGTAAATGGGAAAAGACTTTCTTCTAAAGTCCTTTAAAGCCGATTTTATAGAATCGGGTTTGAGTTCATAGTGATTTCAAAAAGTCTATCTCTTTCAAGACACTTAAAATCTTTTGACTTCATTTTAAGCTTAAAAGTGAAAGGTGTTTCTACTTTTATACTTTAAATAGACCAATAGAAATTAAATCAGAAAATTTATTATTAAGGAAAAATAAACGAAACTGTTACTAAACTTTAAAAATTAAAAAAAAAAACTTGTATGTCTGTTATTTTTTTATTTTAAAACACCGTCAAAAACATTTGCATTTTAAATACCAATTTTACGAAGTGTTTTAAATTGGTTGAAAAATAAGTGGTTTATTTTAATTAGGATCCTGCAATAAAAAAACATTTTTTGCTGTTATGTTTCTAACTATTGTCACTGTAAATCAGTAGAAAAGTCGTTTTAGATACTTAGATATATATTTTCATACATAATTATTTTGCGATCATTAACTGTAATAATGTACTATAATCAATAACTCATTTAATGTAATTCCCAAAATCCTCTTTTAGGTTATAATTCGCTTCGCGCACTATAGAGAATTCCGGATTAAATTACAGTATAAATTACCAGCATTTCGGGTTCATCATCCAATTGTAACCAATAAAACCAATTGTACCGTAAAATCCATTTTACGGTAAAATCTCATCGGTATATCGGAATATTTTTGTCTTAGCTTGTTCCTGTAAATATGGATTTCACAATAAAAGATATCGGAACCCTGAGTTTCAGTACTTTATACCGTAATTTTATCTGTAATATCTTAATGTTTAGCACCGCTTTTTTATTTTGTATAAACTTTGCATGAAATATGAAATACTCCTACTTCTGTATGAAATATGGAGTAAACTTTTAATTCATTTTTTTAGTACAGGTATCAAAACGTTATAAAAAATTTTAATGTTAGTTGTTATAATTGTTTATAGTGCTCAAGTAAAGAACTAATGCTTGAAAATTTCCCCATTAAGATTAAATTTGAAAAAAAAGTGAAAAATTAAGCAAAGATAAAGGTAGGAAAATTTTTTTTGCAAATATTTACATTAGGAGGTCTAAATTTTCAACTAGTCTTCTGTTTAGACCTTTGTGACCAACCGTCGATTCCAGATTTCAGAGTCAACCTACTGCTTCGAGCGTCTAATATCTAAATTCATCAAGAAATGTGTTTAGTAAAAAAGATCATTTTAATAATTGATGTAAATATATTTAAATTGTGGAGTAAATATAACAATGTTTAAGTATATTTTGTCTTATTTGTTAAATTAAGTCATTGTTAGCACTAAATTAAATCTTTGGTATAGCTCAAGCGGGTTCCTCAACCAGGAAAATCACCTCTTATAGCTCGCCGAAGGTGTAAAAATATGATCATTAACTTAAAAGTTACTTAAAAGAGCTTTTATAATTTCATTTTAGCTTTTCATTTATTTATTTTAAGCACTACACAATATCAAACTTTGCAAAGAAATTAACCTAAGAAGAGTCAGTAGAAATTACAATGTTTCTCCTTCAATCGAACAATAAATAAATTCTTTATTTTACTATCCAGAGGCCATTATTAAAACATTCTATCACAACGGACTTATTGATTATCAGTTTAACGTTATAGAGCTCTAAAAAGCCAAACCGATGTTTCTGTAACTCTCAACTGATAAAAGAAATAACACTTTTCTAAACAGTGTCTGAGGCTTTTGAAACCTTTAGGGAACGAATACTGTTAGTGACATTTGTTTATAAGAAATAAAAGTTGCAATCCTGTCATCGAGTCAAATTTTTCTTCCTTCGGGCAGTTTTCTGTATTTTTTGGTGGAAACATAAATTTTTCTTTTTTGCGTAAGAAAAATATGCGTCTTACATTACAATCAATATATCAGATTGTGTCATGTCATAGCTTTAAGCCAAATGAATTTAATAAAGGAAGTTCGACAAGATTAAAAGAAATAATTTTCGACGCTTTACACATCATAATAGAAAATTCGAGAAAGAGGAAAAACTAAGCTGCAAAGATTATCTACAGAAATATGCATCAAATTAGCAATAAATTTGCATTGCATTAGAAATATTGACAAAAATTAAAATTGGTTTTATTTAATTTAAAATGCTAAATCTTTCACTTTAAGGATAGTTTATTTGTAAAAGTATTCCTTCGTACGTCAAAACTTAAACTACAAATTGAACATCTTTGAAATGCTAAACTTCAATTCATGGTTTTCAGGGAATTTTGAAACATTTTTTGCAATATTTTATGCATAAACACAGTAAATTATTTTTTCCGGAAAGTAAATTGGAAAAAAAACCCTACTGAAAAGCAAAATTAAATCATTACACAAATTCTACAACTCCAAATTAAATTTCTTTAAATAACAATAATAACATTCGCTTCAATATTTATAAAAATAATATGTATACAGTTCAATATTAAAGAAGATTTTATTATTTCAAAATCTGCAGGATATTAAAACTAATTAACTCATTTTTCGCATGTGTGGGCATGTGAGTAAAGCTTAAACAGTTTTACTAATAATGATATTTAAATAGAAGTAAAAATAAAGATTTACGTAAACAAAGAAATTTGAAAATAACAAAATATTTATGTAAACAAATGCAATGAAACGAGTGCCAAAAAAGTATTTTCCGTGAGACTTGTCAACTTTCCCCTAACATATGTTTAGCAAATAAATAGTAATGAATTACTTAATTTTAATAATATAATCCTATAATGTAACGCCTAAAAAATTTTATAATTACAGCAATTTATTAAGGCTCACTAAGCAAACATGATTCGTAATAATATAACTCTGTTTGAATACATAATTATTGCTCAACTATTTGTATTATTAAGAACTGCTGCCTACTCGAAAAAAGGTATTTAAAACATGTTTCTACTTGTTGTGTATATGACCAAAAATAGAAACAGTAAGAATACAAAGCGTCAAAACAACTTATTTGCATATAATATATCCAAAATAGACATTTAAATCACGCAAACGCAATAAAGACAAAAACAAGAAGAGTCCAAAAACAAATTCTGTGTTTGTATCTCTTTTTTTTATTCATTTTATCTACCCCATAAGAATTGAACTATTTCCCAAATTATTATTGTATATATATNTAACAATGGTAACTAAAACTTTTGAAAAAGATATTACTTACTAAAAAACCTGAATTCTCCAAAATGATACAACACTAATGAACGCGTACAGATCCCATTTATTTTATTCCTAGTACAGTGCAATTTAGAAAATACAAACATCAAATAAATTTAAAACAAAAATGTGTATTTAAAATTAGATTGTTTTATTCAATCATGAATATAGTTAGCTAATGAAACATAAATAAATTTCTTTGACCATAAATAAAAATTTATTTTAGACTCGAAGTAGAGAATTATAATTTTTCAACAAATTCAAAGGCATATAATCATTCAGACGTACCTATTTAACTACCATCTCGAAATTTTTTTATTATCCTGAAGGTACCAAATTATCATTTTATTTTGTGATCAAATAATTATTAATACGAAAAAAACGAGCACTTATTTAAAAAATGCCTAGATTGCTAAGGTATATAATAATAGTATAAAGATACACCCTGTTTCAGTAGCAAAACTTTTTTTTATTATTTTTTGAAACTTTCACAAACCAGAATTTAATAAAATATAAAATGCTTTTTCCTATTAAAAATTTATTTTAAAATCTAAGTTGAAAAATTTCATGTTTAATAAAGAAAGTATGATATCTTCTTTCAAGTCTAATGTCTCCCTGATGGAGGCTGTTGCGAAGAAAATGAAATTTTTTAAAGAAGCAGGTGATGCAAATTACCTTCCTAACCCAATTAAAAATATAAATATACTTTTCAAACTACGTTATTTTGTTAAAAAAATCTATAATTGTTTATTTATCATCACATATTAAGTTTTACATACTTAAAGTGTAAGTATGTATCATTTTATAGCGTGCATGGAATAAATCATACGACACAAAATGATCATTATAAAATTTCTTAACGAAACGGGGAATCAAGGATGTTTTTCTAAATGACCCATTTCAATTTATTATTCTAAGTTTAAAAGCAAGAAATTTTTTTTATTAATATTAAAATGTTGAAGTTTCTCACATAAAAGACTACTTTTGGTAAAAATGTCAACTTTATTAAAGCATAAACTTTGATTTATGGTTTGTCTTAAACTTATTTATGCACCTTTTATTTCACTAAAAAAATTTGCAAGTATTTTAGAAACATTTTAAGCCTTCTTTTAACAAAATACTATTCTACAGCCTATAAAAATACAAGCTCAACTATAATGTTCATAATTGCATTTCAATATAAATTTTGCTCATTCTTTAATTACGTAGGAAATTATTTACTGAAATATTTCTTAGACTGAAGATTTTTGTACAATTTATTGGGTGGAATTTTTAAAAGAAATCTATTTTAGAAGTACTGATTCCACATCTGAATGTTAAAACAATTTTTGATACACTTATCAGCCCTCCATCAGAGATTATAAACTCAAATTTTAAAAAAAAAAATTTTTTTTTTGAAGATATATGTTCTAATAGTCGTTTTGGAATCAGGGAGTTTTAAATTGCATCAATTTTATGCGTATGCAATAATTATGTCCTAAAGCTGAATTTAAATATTTAAGCTCTTATTATTATATTAAGCACTTATAAGCTCTTAGTAGGAATGACGTAGCATGGCTCTATATGTAGCATGATTTGAACTAAGCAAATACTTCTTAAAATTTGATGCTAACTTTTTGATCTGAAGCAAGTTTCAAATTAATCCCTTGTTTCAAATAATTATAAAAAATTCTCAAGATGAACTCCATTATGTTACATATAAATATGCTCATACAGTGAGTAAACAATCCCTCCTAAAAATGTTGAATACTTATTTCCTTGAAACATACTGGTATTTTCTTGAAAAAAGCAGTGGCGCTCACTTTGAAATATGGAACAAGTTTCAAATGAATTACTCATTGTGAAAAAATATTTAAAAAAAATCACAAAATGTCCATTATTACATTAACCATATATATGCACTCAACGTGGCACAGTACAAATAATGGCATGGTCAAGTAAGCATCTAATGTTTAGAAAATACCCATAAATGTGAAGAAATAAATATCCAAAATTTTTAAGAAGCATTTTTAGACCAAAGTTGACATGTAAGTGCTACGTAAGTGCCACGTAAAATGCACACATATATAGTGGATAATGAGGATTATAACCAATGAGGGTATATTTTAAAACTTGTTTCAGAACACAAAGTAAGTGTCAATTTTTTATCAAAAATACCAATAGATGGGAAAAAATTACCAAAAATTTTAAAGATATATATGTGCTTAGTAAAACCCTGCTACGTTAAGTGCATTATTATAGTTAACATAATGAAGGATATATTCCGAATATTTTATAATTTTTTACAATGAGGAAAACATTTGAAACTTGATTAAAATTAAGAAGCGATCGTCAATTCTTTCAAAAATAGCCGTATATGTCAAAAATAGTTAACTAAAAATTTATTAGAAGCAATTTTTAGTACAAACAAGTATACGTGAAGAGCATGCATTTAAAAATGAAGGAGGACACTTTGAGAACTTTTTGTAACTTTCTCTAATTAGAAATTCATTTAAAACTTCTTTCAGATTGCAAAATAGTGTCAAATTTTTCAAAAAATAACCATATATGTGAAGAAATAAATACCCTAACCTTTTAAGAAGCATTTGCTTAGACCAAACCATGTTACGTCATCTCTACTAAGAGATTGTTAGCAGGGTTGAACTCTCATCCATACTGTGGAAGTTGGGTGTAGTGCTCATCCTATTGGAGAGAGGTCATCGATCCGAAGTGGGTGAAGAGCTTATCCCATAACACTATAATAAGAGAGATCATCAAGCCTTAGATGGTCGAGTGAGGTGCTCATTTTTTTCCCTACTAGCATAGTCTCTTTATGAAAAAATATTTATACAGGTCTGATTCTCGCCATTATGGTCTCAATATTTATTTTCTATAGGATTATGAAGTTGATTTGTACTTAAGGCAAAAATGGTATGATGAGAGACTAAAGAAACCTGAAATGTCCAGACCTTTGGATTTGAATGATCCTAAACTTGTTCAACGTATATGGAAACCAGAAGTATTTTTTGCCAATGCTAAACATGCTGAATTTCAATACGTGACAGTACCTAATGTCTTAGTTCGAATAGACCCTAGTGGATATTTGCTGTACATGCTCAGGTATTTCTATATCTTATTATTTAGATTAACTTCCGACACTGTCAGAATTTTCATTCTTAATTTATGTTAAAATAACCGGCAACATTTTATTAAACTGGTCCATCTAATTAACTGTAAAGCTTAAGGTAAAGAACATCGTTTATTTTAATGGTTTTGAAACCATTTGTAACTAGTATGGTTAAAAAATCATGAATGCAAAGCTATACGATTTTTTTTTACCATTTACAACAAAATTGTAAGAAAGAACTTTTAGAGAGTGCAGGTTACTGAAAACTCTTTATGAGTTGAAGGGAATGGAGGAAATTTTGTGATGTCAACTCTGAGACTTAAACCCCCGTTCTGTCGGTCATGGGATTAACAGATCAGTCCTCTTGGCTAAAATATGTACTCATATCTGCAACGAACTAAGTGGCTTCATGAGGTCGGACTAGTTCGTGCAATAAAATTCTAGTGGTTTAAATGTATTAGGTAAGAGCCGGAAATAAACTGCTTTTCTCATACTTAACAGTCTGAATACCATCTTATTTATAGTTATTTGACTGTTTTGTTTGAATATGGTAAAATAACAAATGAATAAGTTGATATTTGACCAATTTTTTAGAAATTTCGAACAGTGCAGTTTACCATATTTTTCGTTAAAATCTTTGCATATAAATTATTCTATTCAAACAATACAAGTTACAACTAAGTATTTGATACCTAATAGATTTTAATTCTTAGTAAAACACGAAATTTCTTATTCTTAGTATTCCGAAATATTTTTACTGTATTTCCACATCAACTAAAACACTACGAGTACAGCCATTTTCATTCAAACATGCGTGCATCTTTTTTATTCTATCATTCAAACAACATTGAAAATGTTTCATATTTCTTATAATTCAGTTGGAGGACCTTAACATACAAAAGAAAAGAAAAAGTTCAAAAACATGGTTTGAAATAAAAACTACAAAATTATATATTTTTTGTAAAGGCGTGAATTTTTTCAATCTTATATTTGCATTGTAACAGTTTTGCTTTGTAGGAATAATGATAAACCAGTCAATCTTATTCAGTCAATCAAAAGAAACAACAAATAAAATATTATGTTGTGTGGAATAATGGTAACAATGGTAACTAAAACTTTTGAAAAAGATATTACTTACTAAAAAACCATTTTAATGTAACCTAAAAAAAAAATTCCTTTACAAAAGAAGTTAATATATATGAAAGCGAATGGAATATAATTATAAAAAAAAGTTACTTTTTAAAGTGAAATCTGCTAGCAAATAGTTTATTTGAGAAAAATATGTCAAGAGGCTTTCAAAAGAGTAAGATTAATAACAGAAAACTTTGTCTTTTTTCTGTTAAATTTGCTCCTTCAACGACTGAAGCCACTGTATCTCATTTTATCACACCGAAATAGATTTTATCTTACAAGACTTTGGATGCATTGAAAGAACATTGTTTTCTAAAGTTAAGTTTTACAAGAAACCTCATAAAACTTAAATGATGTCCGCAAGTATATTTACTCTTAAATTTACTGTTAGCGAAAAAGACACGAGTAATTTGTTTTCCTTTTTTTATGGATGGTTCCGCGCAATATCTTTTTTTATGAATGAGAGCAGAAATGGCTAACTACTGCGATGTCATTTTCCACGCCTCCTGTAATATGATCATTACAGTTACAGTGAAGTATGATTTCAAAAATATAGTATGATTTATTGCAAAATAAAAAGTTAAATGTTTCGTGATATAAAGTTTAAAAAAAATTAAACTGAAAGCTTTTAAGAATGATAAATTTCTTTAAAACCCTTTCATTTTATAATATTCATTACGTATTGAAAAAAATTAAAGCTTTATATTATTACAGCGAGAACTACTTGTCTTATTAATACTTAAATTTTAAAGGATTTTGCTATGCAAAATGTGTAAACTAACGAGAATTTAATTACACTATTACACTTTTCATTCTAAAATTACGGTAAGATAAATGGCAGCAGTCGGCCCATCCAATTAAGCGCAAAGTTTACAGTAAATAAAATTTTTTACTTTCACAGTTTCAAAGCCTATTAAGCATGGTTAAAAACGCATAAATGCAAAACTATATAGTTTTTTTTAACAATTTGCAACCATCATTTGTTTCCTGAATGTAAAAAGAAAGTTTAATGGACATTGGAGCTAGTCTTTTCGATAATTAATGGACACTGATGTTAGGTTGCAATCGAGTTCTGTTTTATCAAATGAGTTTATCTGGTTGTTTTACCCATTATCAGAGATGAGAAATACTTGACATTTTTTGTGTTATGCAGCTTTATCATGCATTCATCTATGCGTGAATGAGAGTATCGTATTCTAATAGTCCAGGGTCACAAATTAGGGAGTGTAAGACACTGGAAACTCTTCATATGTTGGAGGAAACATTAACTTTGGGGCTCGAAGGCCTGTTCTACCGGTCATAAGACTGCAGATTCGCTCTCTCCGCTTTAATATGCACGCAGCTGCAAGGTATTAAATGACTTAATTAGGTAGGCCTAGTTACTGTGATAAAGTTCTGGTTGTTTAACTATACTTGGTGAAAGCATTTAATAAGCTGTTTTTCTCACAATTTTATCAATTTGAATACCATCTTAGTTATAGTTATTTGAATGTTTTGTTTTAATATATTAAAATAAGAGTAAAATAGATTGTTATATAACCATTTTTTTCCGAGAAATTTCTAACAGTGTACTATTGACTGACTTTACTATTCAACTCAACTGCTTAGTTCCTAGAAAAAAAATTAAATAATACAACTACAAGTGAAAAGACTTTCGGAGCATCAATTAAATAATAATACTGCTAATTTTCGCAGTATTTAGTTTTGGCTCTCCTTAATTAATAAAATTATCTTTTCAAAAGTAAGTGGTGCTTATATCCCTAAAACAAAAGGAGTCAGTGGACCTTAAAAATATTTTTTTTAATTTCTGTTACTAGAAATCTAAAGTTTTCGTGTTCATTATTTATTAAGATTTATTAATGCACAATGTTCCATTAAAAACAAATATTAAAAGTTGATGGTCTAAAATAATAACTTAAGGGCAATTCAATGTCAAAGACAATTAAAAAAATTACTTTTTACGAATATTTTTTGGATACAAGCATTAATAAAATCTTCTTTATGTATTCAAATTTTGTACAAAGTTGTTTCAACCATTATCATATACTTATAAATTGATTTCTCTCTCTCTCTAAAATAATACTTATTTGTATGATTCACGTGGGTACAAAGGATAGGAGTTGCCTTGATTACTTTAAATTGCATGTAATTATAAATGCTGGTCACGATACATTTTTATAGTGTTTTCTTTTTTTCATAAAACTTGATTCTAAAGTGATACATACGAAATGCTGCTTAAAGTTTTTTTTTAAAAAAATATGTCATAATAAAAATATAAAGATCGCTTTAAATTTCAATGCAACCATACACATAATGATCTTTTTAAGAATACTATATTTAAGAGTTCTTGAAAATAAAAATCATTTTGAAAAGAAAAGAAATCTTTTGTTTTTAATTACAAATTTCAAACATGTTTTGATTTTGTTACTTATCATCTTCTTAGGTTTAAAGTTTTGCATTTTTTAGGCTAAAATTAACATTTTCTTGTATGATGGACCTGTACCGATTTCCTTTGGATTCTCAAGTGTGTACTATCGAATTAGCTTCATGTAAGTTTGTTTTGTACATTTCTTTTTACTACTTTAAAAAATATCCCAAAAATTAAATTCTTAAAAAATTTTAAATAATTTTCTACCGACAATTAGTGGAAATATAAAAAAACTTTTATTAACAAGCGATAAGTAGAACTCAACCAAATCGGATTTCTATATTATAAACAAAACTTGGAAATAAAGAATTTTTTAACTAGCGAACAAATAATTTTATCTATTTTCTTACAACAAATTTCAAATAATCATCAATATAAACCTGAATTTTTATTCCTGATCTATCTACATTAAATTAAAATTGAAATGTAAGCTTAAAATATCATTATAACAACATTAATTATAATATAATTTTTTGCCTCTACATTTTCTTATTTTCTTTTCGTGTATCACCCATTTCATTGCTCATGTAATCATTGCTTGCGATAGATTTTCTTTTGATAGAATTTTATCAAACCGTGTCCATTATTTATTTCAAAAAAGCAGCACAGACATAAATAAAATAACGAATAATTCTATCAAAGTTGGGTAAATATCAATGCAAATAATATAATATTCAATAAACATACTTAACAATATTTTTGAAATTCTATTTTCTGGGATCATTAATTATTAATAGTAATACGTTATCAATTTTAACAGTTTTTAAACAAATTTATAATGGTAAAATGAAATGTCATTTTTCATATAACATGTCAAATATTCTATACATGCCAAAGAAATTGCTTGATTCTACTCTAGGTTCTAAAAACTAACTGTAATTTTCCTTCACCATCTGTTCCATTTTTTTTTTAAAAAAAACACTAGCGTTTTAAACATTACTGTCAACCATTTTGAGTTTTTAAAAAGTAATATTTCATATGGTCGTCTAATAACTAACAGGGTCTCTTGAACACCAGGGTATCAAATTTTAAAGTATAATGCAATATGATAAAATAATTACTTTTATCATATTGAATATTCTATAATATATTGCTATTGAATATTAAATTAAAAGAATGTAATTTTGCAAAAGTAAAATACAACAGCTACAGGAGGGTATTTGCAAAAAAATCAAATAAATAAAATTGTACAAGATAAATTGCATATAACTATAGCATAAAATAAAAAATTTTAAAGTATAAAAGCTATTAATATATTGGTAAACATTATTTTTCGGCTACAAGAAATTGCAGTAATACCGTTAAAAAGATGTGGAGACATTTAAATTTAAAAAATTTTTCTAATTTTGATATTTATAGTAAAAAAGAATATAAAGCTGTTATATCTCTTTAATGATTTAGTATACATGTGTTTCTGGATTGGAAGGATGCCAAAAGTTCCATTAATATCTTTATAAAATTTTATCTGTTATATTTTTTTATTCAATTTATTTTCCCAATGGTTATAATTTCATTTTGCGCTTGCAACTTTACATAATGTGACAAAAAATATTTCCTGAAACTGATATGCGAGCAAATCATATGACGGTTAAGTAGTTTATTTCTGGGACTGTTTTTTTTTTTTTTTTTTTTTTTTTTTTTTTTTTTTTTTNTTTTTTTTTTTTTTTTTGCATGGGAGATGAATTAAAATTAAAAAATCGTTAACCTTTATTTATGCATTTAGCCGAGCAATAATCTAATATATTGTCTCATTTGAATGCATATTGATATAAACAGGTGAATAAACACTGTAAATGACTGACTCAGTTTGAAAGTTAATATTAAAAATACTTTTTAAAAAATAAATTGCCCTTTTCTGCCCTACACTTTCCTTAGAATTTTTTTAGAAAATTATTTTACGTATACTGTGCTCAAATAAATCTAAATTTTGCCACCACGTGTGACTGAAACACTATGTAATAGCACTTCCATGATAGTTCCCCCTTGTAGCAAAAGTATGGCGTCATCTTGAAATAAAGTTTTAACACAATTGTAACTAATTCTCAGTTGAAATGGACAATTATGTAATACAGACGTAATGTTCATCGCCTGTAAAAGTATGAGACTTTCATTAATATACTTCCAAGTTCAAATTCAAATTTATTACTTTTATAATAGCAATCAGTAAAAGGTGCATTCTTCTTCAAATCATTCATTATTACGTTCAAATTGCTAAAAAAATATCATTTGTTTTATTTATACTTATATGTTGGTAACAGTAACGCGTAAAAGTCTCCTTCCATAAATTTTTCTTAAAATTTAAAATTGAATTAGTTTGCCCTTCAAATCAAGCATTGTGCTTCCAATAAACGGTTTTTATACTAATCTTTCTTAAGATTTAAGTTAAACATCGAGAAGTTGAAGAAAGATGTAAAAAACATATAGTCCATAGACTTTTGCGTTGCACTGTTAACTAAAGTTGGAAAAAAATAAAAACATAATTTTAATTCTTAATTATATCTAGCTTTTCACCAAATTAATAACTATTTAAATAAATTTTGAATTATCGATAAAATGAGCAAAATTCCATCAAATAACATGAAAGCAAATGTCAAGCTACTTTTAATATTTAAATCGAGTAAACAATTGACTGGATTAAACGTTAAGCAATTTTTTCCATCTACTAACTGAACTCCCAAGCTTTTGGGAATCAATTTATTGTGAAAAGTTTGTGAAAAAAGATTTTATTTAAAATATATTACCTTTTTAATAAGTTTAGGCTCTTTAGACAAGCTAAATTATTTTCACCGTATAAGTTTAATTCAAAATTTAAATTTAGTTTTTGACATGCCTAGTTGCTTCCGCAGAATGATACTACTCATCAGAAATTATTAACTAATTTTGTTTTCAGCTTTTTGAGGTGTTGAAATTAAAAAAGTATGTATTACATTATATTTTGACTGAAAACCTTTTTAAATAAACTGCTATATTTCAGCATGCATTTTGTAAAAATATATATTACACTAAAACTATTTAAATCAAGCTTTACAAACATTTTAACGATTATTAATTTTGGAATTATATTCTTACTAGATTGATTCTTAATTATCGGATTGCTTCTAGCTTTTGGTCATATTAGTTATCGAGCCTACGCTATCTCAAACACATAATCTAAAACATTTTGCAATTTTTATGACTTTTGCGCAAAGTCATGAAAAATGGCAAAAATATTTTTTGTTGGTGATTTTTTTCCAATAGAAGCAAAAAAATATACAGTAATTTTTATACTAATCAGATTTAACTTTCGAAAGTAAAATTATCTTTCCAAAATCTAAAAATTATATGGTTTGCTTTATTAGAAACAGCAGTTTAAAGAAGTCAGGGAAAATTGCAGCCTCAAATAAGTGAACATTTCCAATTTTTAAACAATCACTGGTTTTTACGACGCATTTTATTTGACTGAATGATTAAAACATAACTATCTAGGGGTAATTTTTATTTTCATGAGTTGAAAAAATAATTAAAAAGATTATATAAAAGCTATAAAATATTTTTATTCAAAAAAGATAATTTATACTTTTTTGAAGCAAGCAATTTAAAACTAAAAGCTTGCAGTAAAGTGTAATTTATAAAAATAAAGCGTGAGAAACAATCAATGATTTTTATATCACTTAATGCTATAACTAAATTCCTATATTTTTTTACTCAAACTAAATAGATAACAGAAGATTAAAACTAAATGTGAATTCTTACACACAAATATGATTCAAAAAAGATTAATTGCAAGACAATTCCATCTGCGCATTCATAACAATTTTCAATAATGAATTTGAAAAGTTCTTATCGTTTTGACTAAAAAATGCATCTATTTTGTTTAATGAGAGTCATTAACCCAATTATCCTTTCTGCATTTTATCTCTCTTAAACTCTTTTATAAGACAGAACTATAAAATGGCCAAAAGTATTGATTTAAGAAAGTTTCAAGTAATTATGAATGAAAAATTAAATAAACTTTCACGTTGATTGCTTTCTAATTTTCAAACAGATTAAGAATTGTTTTTAGTTTAATTATTGCTGTAGCTTTGTGGATCATTAATTGACTGTTTAAATTTTCTTAATATTCGAAAGTGTTTTAATAAGTTGTTTATTAGATAAAAATTAAAAGAAAAACTTCTAAATTTGACTAGATTTAAAAAATTCCCATATTGGTATAGCACGATTTGATTTCTTTGAGAAAACTCTTTTACATTGATTTAAACTCAATATTGATAATAAAATATGAATGACATTTTAATAATTTATTATTCAGAAATATTTTATCATGATTAAGGAATGCTGGCGCGATATATTGTCATTTTTGATGAACACAATATTTGACGAAACTGCTTTCACCCTCTTATATAATTCCAGTGAATTGTGGGAGTCAATGATGTTTCGAGGCCTAATTAGGTACTCATGTAAGATAAATATTGCTCTAATACTTAGCCTCTTTCGCAGCATACAACTTTTATGCGTATATGAAGCTGCATGTTTATAGCATGCAACTTTTATGTTACATATGTTTCAGTGATTCAATTGCATTCGATGAACCTTAAGGGAGTGAATATAGATTGCCTGTCTGAAAAGTAATGTTATTGATATGATTAAAAAGCGTGTATTCATTCGATGGGTGCGAAGCATTGAAAAGTCAAAAAAATCCGAGCATTAGTCCGGAATTTTTCTGAAATTTGTGCTGCTGGCTTTCCTGTATCAAAACCTTGGATGTTGCTACGTTATTCAATAGAAAAGTAGTGTATAGCAGTGATATTTCAATAAAAATTTGTCTAGAGACTCAACGCTTTGGAGATTTTAAATAAAATAATCCTGCGTCTCTAAATCTTTTCCAAAGACATCTCTAAGCATCGAAGGCAAATAGATTCCATCATTTTATCAGCTGAAAATATTTTCAACTACTTACTTTTCACAATAAATCTTAGAGGAGAAACTTTTTAGCAATAAAAACAAAATAAAACAAAACATATTTTGAAAACATGAACAAATTAGCTCAAAAACAATTGCAGTAACATTTTAGAGAGTTGAAAGAGAACTGCTTTGAAATGTAGCATCGGCGGAAAGCTGTTCACAGAATGCAGTATACGCTAC